ACAAATGCGCTTTACACAATTGATGTGTGTATGGATTGGGATAACAGTTGTATGAGCCCCTAATAAAATGTTAAAAAAAAAAAAAAAGAGAATAGAGAAATGAATTTGTTCTGTAAGCTATATTCCAAATCACAAAAAATGCAAACAGAAAAAAAAAATACAGGAGCTGCACTAGGCATCTTTCAGCACTACCGTGCCCTGTGATCAAAGTCAATGAGAATTACAGCAACCCAAATCTAACATGACTGTAGAAATGCAGGCTTGGGCCACTCCACCAGGCAAAGAAACACCACCAGCTGAGGTGCCTGCTGCGAGCAAGGAAAATATAGGATGTGTGTTAGATGCAGGTAGTTGTACATACCAGCTGTAAATATTAGTTGTATAAATTAAGGCTATAATTGTTTTGAGGGTTCTTCCTTATTTTATGTGTATGTACATGAGGGGGCTCCAAAAATGTATAAGAAAATGAAATTAGAGATCCTATCTATCTGTTCCAAGATACTAGCTATCTGTTACAAGTGATACAATGTGCTATCAATTTTCACCGCCCTTAGCTGGGAGCCCTGGTGGCTTCGTGGGTTTGTTATACTTTAGATAGCAAGGTCAGCAGTTAGAAACCACCAGCCACTGTGCAGGAAAAAAAATAGGACGCTTTCTTCTTCCATAAACATTTACAGCCTCAGAAACCCAAAGGGGTTGTTCTACTCTGTCCTATTAGGTTGCTCTGAGTTGGAATTTACTCGATGGCAGTTAGCTTGGTGGTGGTCTTTTTGATATCTCCAATACGATTAACTAGAACGTGCCATGCAGTTATAGTGGCAGGTCCTGTGAAAGAAAACAACTTTAAAGTTATATGTGTATAAATTTAGGGAGAAACTGTTAATCTGCGAAACAGCCCTAGTGGCACTGTATGATAAGCACTGTGCTGCCAACCACAAGGACAGTGGTTCAAAACCCAACAGGAGAAAGATCAGACTTTGCTTCCATAACTATCTAGTCTCTCGACACCTAAAGAGGGTCACTTTGAGTCAGAATGGATCTGATGACTGTGAGTTTGAAATTTTGGTTTGAATCTGTAAAATGAGAGAGGATGAGTGAAAATTCTCCCAATTATTTAACTTACTTAAGCCTTTAAGCAAATTATATGTGAATATTATACTACTACAATTTTTTTCTGAGTATGGAATAACAAATTTGAGTCATAAAGATAAAAACAAATCCAGTTAATTTATAATATTGGTTATCAAGAATATTTGGCCTCATTGAAGCATGTGTATGACCATGGCTGGCATTGGTAAAATTAATTTACGTACTTGTTTTATTACTCTTATTTATTATACTATGAAATCTCTGAAAATCGTAATAATCGTATGAACTGACACTCTAGAGTCTGAATGTCTGTGTTCAAATTCGTTTTTGGCTATCTAGCCTCAGTTTTCCCATCTGTAAATGAGTAACAGTAATACCTACACATTAAGATCTTTTTGTGAAATTTAAATACACACATATACTGAGTAGTTGCTAAATGGGGCTATTTTGGTTAATAATAGATATTACTTGTGGTAGTTGTATAATTGTCAATTTAAGGATTCAGCATGTAGGGAGTCTAGCCTGTCAATCAGGTCATAGCCAATAAGGCTTCTGTGTGGGCACAGCCTTCCCCTAAGGATTCTGGGAATGCCGGTATTTCCTGCTTGGAGGGGGAGACTCTCTGCTCACACCCTGGGAGACACTGCAGCTGACAAGACACATGGACCCACCCTGATGCAGCCCTGGGTGCTGGAGAAGCCATGCAGAGACCCCTGCCGGAGCTGAGATGTTTCCAATGCCACTGGATCCAAAGACTTTCTACCCACTGACCTGTGATCATTTACATTTGGCGTTATTGCATGTGTTTCGTGATTCTGAAGAGGACTTTATAGATTGGTATTGGACATTTGGGCTAATATTGGACTTATGGACTTGATCTGGACTGGGCTGGGATGTTTTCTCAATGTTCAATTGCTCTTGTATATAAACCTCTTTCTTCCATACATATGTGTGTCCATGGATTTGTTTCTCTAGTCTACCTAGACTAACAGATTAATGTAGTCCCTCCCCACAGCAAATTATTTGTATAAAGCTGAAAATAACAGTTTGATCAAGTATTTTAATTTTAAAAGGTAAATATATTCTAATACTTCACTAGCTCTAGGAAGCTTATAAAAATTATGAAGCTCTTTCTAAATTGTACCACTTGAACACTAAAACCACAACAAACTGGAAAAATAATGGTTGATAAATACTTTAATGCTATAGATTGAATTGTGTCTTCCTTACTCAAAAATTAAAAAAATTTTTTTTGATAATTATTCTTATAGCAGAAAACAACACAAAGCTATACTTATTTGATCAGAGATGACAACCTCTGACTGTTAAAATAGTTTAGTATAATTATATCATTTTCACATAAAGTTTATAAAAATATTATTTTCCATTTTGGGACAAAAATCTGGCAAAATAAATAACAAAAAAATATGAGAGTGGCAGGCAACTTCTAGCCAGA